TGTGGTGGGCTGGGGGCTTTGGTCTTTGCTGCCCAGAGCAGCACTGATCAGACCCAAAGCTCAGCTTCTTCTCAGTCTCATTTGTCTACCTTTCCTGTAATTCGCCGTATGCTGCCGTGGCTCGCAGGAGACCAGAACTCACTGCAGAAGTTCTGGTAACATCCCCTTCCCCTGTTCCCTACAAACCACTGTGGAAATCAGTATGATTAGAGGTCCCATTTGACCCAGCTATTCCCCTACTGTAGATTGGTTTTTTACTCTATTGATAGTGTCTTTTTTTGAATCAAAACATTTACTGGTACATTTTAGATATATAAGACGATAACATTCATCACAACGAATTTTGATAGACAAAATTTTTAAATTTTCAATAAGACCAATATGTAGACATTTTCTTTTATTCTGTTCCCCTTTGGTGTCATAGCCAAGAATTAATTGGCAAAAGTAATGTCATGGAAGTTTTGTCCTGTGTTTTCTTCTAAGGTTTTACAATTTTTGCTGTTCAGGTCTTTCACAAATTTTTAGTTAATTTTGGTATGTGGTGTTAAATAAGGGGTTGCTTTTATTCTTTTACATGAGGATATCCAATTTTTCCAGCACTATTTATTGAAAAGTCTTTTCTTCATTGAATGCTCTTGGTAGCTTTGTCAAAAATCATTTGACTAGGTGAAGTTTATTTCTGGTCCACATGACTATATCTTACTTTTTTGATTATATGTGTTTGTATGAAAGTACCACATTGGTTTGATTCTTACGAACTTAGCAAGTTTTGAAATCAAAAACTGTGAGTCCTTTGGCTTTATTCTTTTTTTTTTCCAGAATTACTTTGGCTAGTTGGGGTCCTTTGAGATTCCATATCAATTTAGGGTAGGTTTTTCTATTTCTGTAAAAAAAAAAAAAATATCATTAGGTTCATGATAGCAACTGCATTAAATTTATATATCACTTTGGATAGTATTGATAGTTTAACAATAATACATCTTTCATTCCATAAATGTGGAATGTCTTTCAATTTATTTATTTTCTTTAATTTTTTTCAGAAGTATTTTGTCATTTTTATCGTATAAATTTTTCATCTTAATTCCCAAGTATTTTGTTCTTTAGGATGTTAATATAGATTGAGTTGTTTTATTCACTCTATTTTCTGTGTGTTCATTGTTAATGTACATACAGATTACAGATTTTTGTGTTTTGATTTTGTTTCTTGCTACTTTGCTAAATTTATTATTTTTTGGTGAAATTTTTAATTTCATATAACATCATATCATTTGTCAACATATACAACTTTACTTCTTCCTTTCTGATTTGGATGCCTTTTATTTCTTTTTCTTGTCTAATTGCTCTGGCTAATTCTTCCAGAACTGTTCCTAAAAACATGGTAAAAACAGGCATCTTTGCTGTTATCTTCATCTTAGGGAAAAAACGTTCAGTCTTTTATCATTGAGAATGATATTCATTGGGGTCTTTCATACTTTGATGATGAGGATGATGATGATGAAGAAGATGATGATGTTTGGGTGATTTACTCTGATTGGTTTGAGAGTTTTCAGCATGAAACTGTTCTGTTTCATCAGATGGCTTTTCTGTATTGAGATTATTATGTGGTTTTGTTCATTCTGTTAATATGACATATTAAATTGATCAGTGTTTATATATGGAACCATCCTTAACATTTTAAACATAAATCTTACATAATTTTAGTCAGTAAGCCTTTCAATGTGCTTTAGAATTATATTTGCTAATATTTTGTTGAAGTATTTTATATTAATAATTATAAGAATGTTATGTAGTTTTCTCATGGGCTTTGGCTTTAGTCTCAGAGCAATTCTGCTTCACATAATCAATTAAGGAATATCATTTCCTCTTCAATTTTTTAATAAATTGGGAAGGGTTGTTGCTAATTTTTCTTTAAATACTTCATATGTTTACCAATGAGGTCATAACATCTGGATTTTTGCTGTTATTGTTATAAGATTTTTGTTTACTGACTCAATCTCTCTATAAGTGTCTCTTCAGAGTTTGTTTCTTCATAGTTTAATTTGTGTAGGTTTTATGTTTCTAGGAATGTATCTGTTTTGGTAGGTTTGCTGGTATACAGCTGCTCATATTACTCTCAAAATGTTTTATTTCCAGAGAATCAGAAATATCCTCATTTTTATTTCCAATTTTAGTAACTTGAGTCTTTTCTCTTTTTCTTTTTTTGGTACCAGAGATTGAACTCAGGACCTTGCACTTCCAAGGCTGGCACGATGCCACTGAGCTAAATCCCCAGCCTTTTCTCTCTTTTTCTTAATCCATCTGGCTAAAGGTTTTTTAAATTTTATTTTGTGGATCATTTTTTAAAAATTCACTTTTAATTTTGTTAATTTTATCTATTTTCTTTTCTCAATTTCATTTGGATCTGCTGTAGTCTTTTATTATTTTCTTCTGTTATCTTTGTGTCTAGTTCGTTCTTTTTCTACTTCATTAGATTTTAAAGTGAGGATGTTGAGTCAAGCTTTCATGTTTTTCTTGCTTTTACGGCTAAAGTCTCTCAGCATAGATTTTTTCTGCCTCCCATAAACCGAGTATGTTGTGGTTTCATTTTCATTCATCCCTACAAGTTTTTCAACTTGCCTTGTGAATTATTCTTTGATTCATTAGTTGCCTAAGAGTTTTTTTATTTTTTATTTTTTGGTACTGGGGGTCGAACTGGGGACCTTGCGCTTTTAAGGCAGGCAGCAGAACCACTGAGCTAAATCCCCAGCCCCTTAAGGGTGTGTTATTTAATTTCCATAAATTACTGAGTTTACCTCGTATTACTGATTTCTAGCTTCATCTAGTTGTGAGCATAAAAGGCACTTTGTAATATGTCAATCTTTTCATATCTATTGAGTCTTAATTTGTGGCTTAACATAATCTGTCCTGGAAAATATCTCAAGTATTTGAGAAAGATATATATGCTATTGTTGTTAAGTGGAGTGCTGTGTATATGTATATTAAAGCTGATCAGTTTCTTGTGTTATTCAAGTTCACTGTTGTCTTACTTCTGTTCTGTTTTTTTAAATGAAGTTTTACTATATCCACCCATTATTGTAGAGCTATTTCTCCCTTTAATACTACAAAGTTTTGCTTCACAGATTTTTATGTTGTTACATACATAATTACTAGGTTTATAATGATTTTATCTTTTTGGTGCATTAATCTTTCATTAACTTTTAAGATCCTTTCTTGTGTTTCATATACTATTTTTTTTTTTTTGGTACCAGGGATTGATCTTGGGACCTTGTGCTTGTGAGGCAGGCAGTGGAACCACTGAGGTAAATCCCCGGCCCTCATATACCTTTTATTTAAATTCTATTTTGTTTATTAGTATATCCCCCCACTCTGCTGTGGTTACTATTTTGATGGTATTTCATTTTTCAGCCTTCCACTTTCTTTTTTTTCTTTTCTTTTTATAGACAACAGGTTTATTGAAAACCGACATGGAGACAATGAGTAGCTGTAACAGCAAGGCAGCTTCTGGATATACAGTTGGATTATTTTTTAAAATCTATTCTGCCAAGCTCTGTCTTTTTATTGTGCAATTTAGCCCATTTATATTTAAATAATAACTGATAAGGAGGGTCTTCTGTAAATTTACCCCCTTTTTGGTACATCTTAAAGCAGCTTTTGTCCTTACTGTCTTCTTTTGTGGTTATATGATTTTTTTGTAGTGAAATATCTGAATCCTTTTCTCATTTCCCTCTTGTGTATTATTTAGCTATTTGTGGTTAACAGGAGGATTACACTGAACATACTGAACTGATAACATTTTATTTTAAAATTATATGAGTTTATCTTTAATTGCATACAAAAAATGCCCTTTTAACAGTTCTATTTTCACCTCATTCAGTTGTTGATGCTACAAAATTTTCTTTATATAATGTGCCTAAAAATAAAAATTTAAAAAAGTATTAGTCTCATAAGAAAATAGAATGTTTTGATATATTAGCCTTTCAAATCATGTAGAAAACGCAGAATTACAGAGCATTGGTACAATAATACTGGCTTTTACAATTGCTCATATTTTTACCTCTACAGAGAGGTTTATTTCTTCATACTTCATTACTATTTAGTGTCCTTTCATTTCAATGTTCATTTCATGATGAGTTTCTAATTTTCTCCATAGATGTGCTTGTTTTTGAATGCTCTCGTCTTCAATGTCTGGCTCCTAATAATGAAGAAATGTGATGAAGGAAGACCAAAGGATTGGGTCATTAAATACCCTGAAAATCACTTCAGCCAGAGAAGATCTTTCAACAGTGTGGGAAGGTATAGCAACATTGACTGCTACCTCTTTGTCTGCATGTTTAAGATTAGAAATAGCAATCAAAGATTGGAGCACACTCACTTGCCCACCTTGGCTGGCAGTGTGCTAAGAGATGAAATTGATTAAAATTAATTGTACTTTGCCATCCAAGCCTTCCTCTAGAAGTTTCGATCCTTAAATTGAATCCAGAGTTCCAAAATAATTACATCAGGTAGATTCTGGCAGTGCAATAATTGTCTGGGAGAGGAGACAGATTTCTGGTCATTCTAACTCTGTCACCTTCCCAGAATACGCCTGTTTTGATTGAATTTTGTATATTAAACTAACTTGAATTCCTAAAAACTCCATCTGGCCATGATATATTATCATTTTTGTATTTGGTGAATATAATTCATTAAGATTTTTAGAAGTTTTAACATATTTATGAAGGATATTTATTGTTAACTCTCTTAATTTTTATCTGTTCTTAGTATCATCTTAATGCTGACCTGATACTGTGACTTGGGAAATAGTCCCTCCTTTCCAATGTTCTGGAAGATTTTTGTATAAAATTTCTGTTAATTTTTCTAAATATTTAGTATAATTAACTAGGGAACCCATCTGCCCCTTGGTTTTTTGTGGGAAGTCTTATCCAAGTTGTCAATTTTATTGGGATAAATTTATTTATAATATTTCCTTCTTAGCCTTTTAATACAATATCTCTAAAATCTGTAGTAATATCATTTATCTGATTCCTGATTCTAGTTGTCTGTATTTTTCTCTTCTTTTCTTGCTCATTCACACTAGCCACTTATCACTTCTCTCAAAGAGGCAGTTTTTGCTTTTTAAAATTTTTTTATCCATTTTCATGTTTCCTATTTCATTGATTCCTTTTTTACATTTATTGTTTTCTTTTTACTACATTCTTTGAATTTAATTTGTGCTGTTTTCTCTAGTTGCCTAATGTGGAAATAGATGTCATTAATTTTAGCTGTTTCTTCTCTTCTAATATTGGTATTGGTGCTGTAAAAGTGTGGCATTTTATACTTTTTCATTTTCATTAAGTTGAAAATACTTTTAAATTTACCTTTCAATTTTTTGCCTCATGTTGTTTGCAAATGTAGTATTTACTTTCTAAATATTTAGATTACTTAAAAAAAATCTATCCCTTACTGGCTGGTTTTAATTTAATTATATTGTAATTAGAGAAGAAACTTTATAATATTTGAATATTTTGTAATTTTTGAAAGTTTTTCATGGCCTGTAGTGTGGCTTATTTTTGTTAATATTTCTTGTTCATCAGTTCTGGGGATTTAGCTCAGTGGCATGGTGCCTGCCTTGCAAGTACAAGGTCCTAAGTTTGATCCCTGGTACCAAAAAAAAATTCTTGTTCATCTAAAATTAACATGTCTTCTGTTATGTAGTGTTTTATGCTCCTCAACTAGGTAAAATTAAATGATGGGATTATGCAAGTCTGTTATAACATTATTGATTTTTTTGTTTACTTGGTTATTAACTGTGAGGGAATATTGAAAACTTCAATAATAATTGTGAATATGTTTATTCTTACAGTTCTATCAGCTTTTGTTTCATGTGTTTTGGAATTATGTGATGTGGTACAAAAACTTCTATGATTGTTATTTCTACTGGATGCAATGACTGATTTATCATTATAAAATAAATTTTTTAACCCTAGTAATATTCTGTACAACTACTTTGTTTAATGTTAGAAAGCCACTTCTAGGGTTCATAAATTTGAAATTGGTCTCAGTGGGCTAAAATCAGAATAATAAGAGGACAATATTACTTTCTGGAGACTGTAGGGAAGAATGCATTTCCTTGCTTTTTCTTTTCTTTTTTTTTTTTTTTTTGGTACCGGGGATCGAACTTGGGTCCTTGCACTTGTGCAGCAGGCGGCGAAACCACTGAGCTAAATTCCCAGCCTTGCTTTTTCTATTTCATATAAGCCACCTCCTTTCTTTGGCTTGTAGTCTTCTCTTTTCAAAGTCAATATCAGGCCAAGTTCTTAACGCATTGCCATTGCACAGGTTGTCTCTTCTACCTCCTTCTTCTACTTTTAAGAACACTTGTGGTTTTACTAACCACACTTAGATAATCCAAGATAATCCCTATACCTCATGGTAAGATAAGCAAACTTAATTCTATATTCTTCCTTAATTATTTTGCACTGCAACATATATATTTTTAAGTTGATTTTTTAAAATTTTATTGGTATACTTTAGATATATATATAATTATAACATTCATCACAGAGAATTTGTACCTCTACATGATATATCATGCTTCTTTTTTTTCCATTAACTCTCCTCCATTTGACCCCTCTTCCCCTTTTTATTTACAAAACTTTGTTTTCATCTTTTTCCTTCTATTCTCATTTCTTCTTATCCCTTCTTTCCTTTCCCTCTCCTCTGTCCCTTGTTCCCCTTCCCATTTGAACATTTCCTTTCCATTTCCCAATATCTATTATACATTTTGGTCCTTATGTACACTTTTAGTTTCTCATCAGAAAGGCAATGCAGTATTTCAACATGTGTGTCTGATTTATTTCACTTAAAAGTATGGCCCCAAGGTGCATCCATTTAGCTAGAAATATCTCATGCTTATCCTTATTTATGTCAGAGTAGTACTCCATTGTTTAAAGAAACCATATCTTTATCCATTAATTGGTTGATGGGCATTTGGGCTGTTTCTAAGACTTAGCTATTACAAATTATGTTGCTATAAACATGGGTGTGCATATAGCTATGGGATGATGCTTTTAATTCTTTCAGGAAGATATTAGAAAGGGGAATAGCTGGGTCAAAGAGAACATCTAGTTTTAGTTTTCTGAAGAATCTCCACAGTGGTTTCACCAGTCAAAACTTCCATCAAAGTGGTGAAGGTTTCCTTTTCCCCTCAGCCCCACCAGCATTTGTTATTGCTTGATTTCTTGATAATAGTCATTCTTTCTGGAGTGAGATGGGATCTCAGGATTGTTTTAATTTTTATCTCTCAAATGACCAGTGATGCTGAACATTTTTTTCATGTATTTATTTGCCATTTCTACTTCATCTGAGAAGCGTTTATTCATTTCAGATGCCCATTTCTGGATTAGGTCTTTAAATTTGGGAGGTCTGATTTTTTTTTTTAGTTCTTCATATATTCTAGATACTAGTCCTTTGTCTGAGGAACAGCTGGCAAAAATTTTATCCCACACTGTGGGTTGTCTCTTCATTCTGTTGGTGGTTTCTTTTGCTGTGCAAAAGTTTTTAATAAGATTTGATCCCAGTGGTTGATTCTTTGTGATATTTCCTGTGTGGCTGTTGGCTCGTCATAGATGGCTTTTATCAGATTGAGATAAAGGCCATCTATTCCAATTTTCTGTAGAGTTTTTATCATGAGTATGTGTTGGACTTTGTCAAATGCTTTTTCTACATCTATTAAGGTGATCATGTTTTTTGTCATTGATTCTGTTAATATGGTGTATTACATTTATTGATTTCCATATGTTGAACTGTCCTGCATTTCTGGAATAAATCCTACTTAATCATGATGTATAATCTTCTTGATGATTAGGTAAATTCTGATTGCCAGTATATTAATGAAGATTTTTTCATCTATGTTCATTAGGGAGATTGATCTGTAGTTCTCTTATTTGGTTGGATCTTTCTCTGGTTTTGGTATCAGGGTAACGCTTGCTTTTAGGAATGAATTTGGGAGTATTTCTTTCTTTTTAATTTCATGAAGCAGTTTGAGAAGAAGGGGCATTATGTCCTCTCCAAATTTCTTTTAGAATTCAGCAGTGAATTCATCAGGACATAAGCTTTTCTTTGTTGGTAGGTTTTTAATTACATCTTTAATTTCATTGACTGATATTGGTTTATTTAAAATTTTTATATCCTCTTCATTGAGCTTTGGTAATTCATATGTATCTAGGAATCTGTCCATTTCTTCTGTGTTTGCCATCTTGTTAGAACATAGGTTTTTTTGTTTTGTTTTGTTTTTTGGTACCAGGGATCGAACTTGGTTCCTTGCACTTGCACAGCAGGCAGAGAAACCACTGAGCTAAATCCCTGGCCCTAGAACATAGGTTTTTGAATTAACTATTGATGATTTTCTGGATTTCTGTAGGATCTGTTGTGATTTCACCTTTTTCATTCCTAATTACATGGATTTGAGTCTTCTCTTTCCTCTTTTTGATAAAGTTGGCTAAGGTTTTGTCAATTTTATATACTCTTTCAGAGAATGAACTCTTTGATTCATTAATTCTTTGTATTCTTTTCTTAGTCTCAGTTGCATTAACTCCTGCTTTGACATGCCCTTTGTTTTCTAGAAGCTTGGGATTCAACATTTGACTGTTTATTTGAGCTTGCTCTGTTTTCTGATATAGGAATTCACTGCTATAAATTTCCCTCACAGGCCTGCTTTCATTGTGTCCCAAAAGTTCTGGTATGTTGTATTGGCACTACTGTTTAATTGTAGAAACTGTTTAATTTCTTCTTTAATTTCATCTGTAATCCATTAGTTGTTCAGGAGGGTGTTATTTAAATTCCATGCATTTATGAAGTTTTTGTGGTTTCTTTTGCCATTGATTTCCAATTTTATTACACTATGGTCTGATAATATGCATGGGATAATTTCAATTCCTTTGCATTTACTTAAGCATGTTCTATGAGCTAGTATGTGGTCTGTTTCACAGAATGTCCAATATGCATCTGAGAAGAATGTGTATTCTGATATTGTGGGGTGGAACACTCTGTAGACATCTACTAAGTCTATTTGTTCAAAGGTTTGATTCAATTCTGATATTTCTTTGTTGATCTTTCACCTCGTTGATCTGTCTATTTGTGACTGTAAGGTATTGAGGTCTCCCATTACAATTTTATTAAGGCTTATTTGATTTTTTGTGTCTGTTAATATTTGTTTTATATAGTTGAATATGCTAGCATTTGGTGCATATGTATTTATGATTACTATCCCTTCCTCTTGGATTGTTCCCCTTATAAGGATGCAATAACCTTCTTTGTCTTGGCTTGAAATTCACTTTGTCTGCAAATAGAATAGCTATCTGTGGTGGATTAACTAATGGTCAACTTGTAATACCCAGCTGACCTGAATCAGCATGTTTCTGGCCATGGGATACCCATCTGAAGATTGTTACTAATGGCATAAAAAGAGAACTGGAGAGGAAATTTGTTTGCTATTGATTTTCTTGGAGAAGCTTGTTGAGGCTAGTTTTTCTGATGTGAACTTGGCTGTTCTCCTTGGAGGAAGAGCTCGTGTTCTTGCTGCCACTGGGAATGGCTGTTTTTCTCATCAGGGGAGCTCTGATCTTTGCCTTCAGCATTGCTTCCTGGCTCCAGTGTAGATTCCTCAGCCTGGTGGCACAATTCCTTTAGTGGTGTGAGCTTTCTAGATTCCACCACTGGCCTTTGGGTTTTCCCAATGCAGATCCTTAATACAGACTTACATGAGACTTTGCCAGGCCTCTCCTGGACTCATGCAGGACATTGCTTTGGGCTCTAGGCCTTTAGCTGAACTTGTGGGACATTGCCATGGGATCCACACCCTTGGCTGGATTCTTTGGGTCCCTAGTGTATGCACAGATCTTTTGTACTCTTCTGCATTTGACTTTTTGGGTGAATATCATAAAATAAGCCTATAAATTATGTGTCATTTATTAAATTTATTCCCTTGCAAATGCTGACTACAACATTATCCCTACTTTTTTCTGGAGTCTCATGGAGTGTTGTTTTATATTCTTTGACTTTCAGTCTATAAATTTCTTTTTGAAATAAATGTGTTTCTTGAATGCAGTATATTGTTGGATCTTGCTTCTTGATCTATTCTGCCAGTCTGTCTCTTTTGATTGGTGAATTGAGACCATTTACATTGATAGTTATAAGTGATATGTATTGACTTATCCTGTCATGTTATTTTCCTGTGGTTGGTTTCCCCTCTCCCCTGTTTAATTACTTGTCTTGCTTTGTGGATTCATTCTTTTGGGGTTCATGGAATTGTAGTCCTCATTATCTCTTTCTAGAATGTTCTCCAGAACATTTTAGAGTGCTGGTTTGGTAGTCATGAATTTCTTCAGGTATCTTTGTCATGGAGGTATCTTATTTCTCCATTAATTTTAAAAGATAGGTTTGAAAGGTT